TTCCGCTACCGGTTCTCCAGAACTGGTCAGAACCTGCTGAAACCCACCTCTGACATCATCACTATTTCATAGGGCTGGAAGTGGCCTCAAAGGTCTTCTAGTCCAATCCTTTGCCCAAGACAGGAGTGCTTATTTCATCTTGGACAAACAGTTTTCCAATCTTTTCTTGAAAACCTCCAGTGATAGAGCATCCACAATTCCGTGGGACAAGCTGTTCCATTGATTCATTATCAAGAGCCTTGATAGTACAGTGGTCTAAGCACCCTGTTATTAACACAGCTGCCTGCAATTACTGCAGGTTCGAATCTCTCCAAGGCTCAAGGTTGACTCAGCCTTCCATCCTTTCTAAGGTAGGTGAAATGAGGACCCAGTTTGTGGGGGTAATAAGCTGACTTTGTATAAATATACAAAAGTATGAAGGCTATTGCTTAACGCATTGTAAGCCGCCCTGAGTCTCCGGAGAAGGGCGGCATATAAATCAAATTAAAAAAAAAAATTGTTCTCCCTGTCAGGAAATTTCTCCTTAGTTTCAGGCTGGATGTCTCTTCAAAGAATTCCCACCTGTTGCTTCTTGTCCTGCCCTCTGGTGCTTTGGAGAATAAGTCATCCCCTTTGTCAGGGTTCCAGGGTGGATAAAAATCAATGATTTTTTTAAAAAAAAAAATCCAAAAAATCAGATTTTTTTGATTTAAATCAGATTTTTTTGATTTAAATTGGATTTTTTTGATTTAAATTGGATTTTTTTTTATTTAAATCGGATTTATTTTAATAAAAAACTTTTGGGGTAAAAATCTATCGTAAGATCGTTTTCTATTTAAGATGCATAAATAAATTAGTTTATTCAGCATGAAATGGAGCTTAGTTATGGAGCACGAGGCTGTATATTCTGCAACACTGGGACTATCGGTGAGTCAACAGCGGGTCAAAGGAGCAGCAGAGATGACAGTTGCTCTTTAAAAATTAGGATTTAAATCGAGCTGATTTGAATCAAGCCTTTTTACTAGTGATTTAAATCGTGATTTAAATTGTGATTTAAATCAACTCGATTTAAATCAAATCCACCCTGCAGGGTTCCGAGTAAAACATCCAAAGAAATCAGAAACTTTGAGGCAGGAAGGTTCCTTAAAGAACGTGTTTATTGGATACAGCATATTGGCACGGGCTAGGGAAAAACCAACTCTGAAAGTTTCCCGCCGTTATAGCATAATTAAAAGAGTGAATGTTTCCCTCCCCAACTGTCACAGGTCACACTGTCCAATTAACACAGTTGGCAGCAGGGGTGGGGCTGCTGGGGAACGCAGGGGTTCGGGAGAACTTCTAACTAAGATTCTGTGCAGTTCGGAGAACCCCCAAATCCCACTCCTGGCTGGCCCACCCCACTCCTCCCTTGCCAGGAGTCTCCATGTGGCCCGTGGGGTAAATGCAGGGTGCGCACGGAGGCTCAGGGAGGGTGAAAAACAGGCCTACCGGAAGTTCAGGAAGGGCCTCCGGAGCCCGTCGAGGCCATTTTCGCCTTCCCGGAGGCTCGAGAAAAGCCTCCGGAGCCTGGGGAGGGCAAAAATTCCCCCCCCACACCATGGTGCAGGAGGCCGACTAGTCATGTGATCAAAATTCAGATGCTTGGCAACTGGCTCATACTTATGACCGTGGCAGCGTTCCGGGGTCATGTGATCACTTTCTGGAACCTTCTTTTGCAAGCAAGCAAAGCCAATGGGGAAGCCAGGTTTACTTAACAACCACGTTACTAACTTATCAACTGCGGTGGCTCACTTAACCACCATGGCAGGAAATGTCGTAAAATGGGGCAAAACTCCCTTAACAAATTCTCGCTTAACAAATAAAGAGTTTGGGCTCAATTGTGGTTGTACGTCGAGGACTACCTGTGTATATGTCTTAAGTTAAGTGTAAGTGGTACATAAGTCTTAAGTATATAGATGTGGTGAAAGGGCTTTCACTGCGCATATAACATTCCTAAGACCTTACCAGCCACAAGTCCAGTACAGCTGTGTGTTGACTGCAACTGGCATTTAAAACTACCTCTACCTGAAGCACAGGTGGGTGTTTTCTGTATTTTTCAATAAACCAGTATGCTCTGCTAGATTCCCCAACCCTCCTTCTAGAATTGACAGGCCACAGGAATGGTAAATCTGTGGTCAAGATTTTGTTAAATTACACATGCCAGTGGTCAGAATTAGGTCTGCCAAGAAGACTCAAGTAACGTGATAGCTCAATAATGTTTGATGCATCATTAGGCTTCCTGCCACTGTGTCTTTGCTCACATAGTCTCGTCTCCTTCCCAAGTAAATAAATATTAATTGCCAAATTTTTGAACCACGAGACCTCAAATATGGTTACTTATAGCAAGGGTCCCCAACCTTTCGGACCTCAGGGACCACTAAATTCATAATTTTAAAGCCTGCGGACCACTAATGTGATCTGCCTAACGACTGGCTGGGTGGGCGTGGCTAGGTGGTCATGTGACTGGGTGGGCGTGACCAACTCCATGTCACTCACGTCAAGGGGTGCCTCGCCGGCCTCTACTCGCCCCTCCCCTCCCAGCCACTCCCCACCTGCTCGCCCGGGCTCCTTAGGACCCCAACGGGAAGCAGTTGTTGGAGCTAAGCAGCCACTAGGAGAAAGAGTGGGCAAAACAGCTGGCTCAGTTCAAATTGGATCTGACCGAGAAGGAGGCTCAGCAGAAGCACCACACTGAGGACTAGGAGCATAGGCTTTCCAAGCAGAGGGAAGACCTGCGGGAGTGCAAGGCCAGGTACCAGCACCTGGAGGCTCAGCGGGCTGAGATGGTCAGCCAGTTCCAGGCCATGATGCAGTCCCACTGGAACGAGGCCCTCCGGCTCTTCGCCACCAGTGGCACTTCCCTCCAGACTTCGCCCAAAGCCCCACACCAAGAGGCTGAAGCAGACCCCGAGTTAGAATTTCTTCCCCCCTCCAACCCACATAAAAAGACCCCGAAGGGGGAGACTCTCTGCAGCAACACAAACATTCATTGCACGTATCCGGCCCAGGGGCCGTAGTTTGAGGACCCCGATTTAGTGCAATATAAAAAATGCAAATAATTTTTCTGTGGACCACCAAAATTTTTTCGTGGATCACCAGTTGTCCACAGACCACTGGTTGGTGACCACTGACTTATAGAGTTCGCCCAAAATCCAGGACTCCATGCAACTAAAATGGAGCAAATGTAATCAAACATCTTTCATCGACCACAAAAATTCTCATTCTGTAACCGTTCTGTTGTCTTGAGAGTACCCGCAGTCCTCAATTTACGACCACACAATTCAGCCCAAAATTTCTGTTCTTAAGTGAGGCAGTTGTTATGTGAGTTTGGCTCCATTTTACGACCTTTCTTGCCACGGTTGTTAAGTGAATCGCTGCAGTTGATAAGCTAGTAACATGGCTGTTAAGTGAAACGGGCTTTCCCCGTTGATTTTGCTCATCAAAAGTTTGCAAAAGGGGATCACACACAGCAACGGTCATAAGTATGAACCACTTGCCAAACATCTGGATTTTGATCACAGTTTGTTTGTTCTATGTAAAATATAAATGAAATGCTGCACATTAACTTACACATTAATTTGCACATTAATTAATGTGTAAAAAATAAATAAATCCAGCACCGTGTGAATTGTCTTGCTTATTTCAATGACATAATGACATTAAACGCCAATGACCTAAATAATTTATAATAACTGGGAAACAGATGGAAGACCTTTTTTAAAAAAAATAATAATAATAATATAAAGTGTTACATTCCTGTTTGGTGCCAAAACCAAAAAGTTACGTAATACCACTATTATAGGAAATCACTGTCGTCCTTTTAAATGACCATTTTCAGAGAGCATTGTGCTCGGGACGACTTTAGTAGCAGAGTCACTGCTATTTCTACCAATAACCGGCCTTAACAGTTACCGTTCTTAGAAATAAATCCATCTGTTTTCCCTGAAAGGACAGTAGTAAAAATCACGAGGCCAGCTCTTATCCAACTCCACCCAGAAAAAGCCATCTCACAGATGTTGAGAACAGCTGCGGTGAATTTTTGGAACTGTTGCATAGTACTAAGAAAGGTTACGATAAAAATCTTTGCCTCTAAGAGTTCTTGTAGCAGATCTCAATGACTGTAGGGTATTTTATTAAGGAAGGAAGGAAGGAAGGAAGGAAGGAAGGAAGGAAGGAAGGAAGGAAGGAAGGAAGGAAGGAAGGAAGGAAGGAAGGAAGGAGATCTCAATGACTGTAAGATCTTTTATTAAAGGAATGGTAGAGAGATAGAGGGAGGGAGGGAGGATGGACAGGAGGGAGGGAGGAAGGAAGGAGAGGGAGGGAGGGAAGGAAGGAAGGAAGGAAGGAATGGAGGATATTTTATTAAAAGAGATGGTAGTGAAATGGAAGGAGGGAGGGTGGAAGGAAGGAAAGGTGGGAGATCTCAATGACTGTAAGATATTTTATTAAAGGAGATGGTAGAGAGATAGAGGGAGGAAGGGTGGGAGGGAGGAAGGAGTGGAAGGAAGGAGTGGAAGGGAAGGAGGAGGGAGGGAGGAAGGAAGGAAAGAAGGGATATCTCAATGACTGTAAGATATTAAGATACTTTATTAAAAGAGATGTTAGAGAGATAGAGGAAAGAAGGAAGGAAGGAAGGAAGGAAGGAAGGAAGGGAAGGAAGGAAGGAAGGGATATCTCAATGACTGTAAGATATTAAGATACTTTATTAAAAGAGATGGTAGAGAGATAGAGGAGGAAGGAAGGAAGGAAGGAAGGAGGAAGGAAGGAAGGAAGGAAGGAAGGAAGGAAGGAAGGAAGGAAGGAAAGAAGGAAGTCCTTGACTGCACTGAATAATTTATTCTTCACGCCTATTCTAACTCCAATTTTAAAAATTCTCTTTTTTTGGAAATACAAGCTCATTACAACTGCATCCTTTGGTACAATGCTAGAGAAGTCAAAATATGCCTGTCACTTCTGATAACTATCTGTCTCCCTCTCTCCAGACATCCAGCTTCTTCAAGGAGACTGTTCCAATTATTTCGCCGCCGGAAAACGCCAGAACGGCGTCTACAAAATCACCCCAGATCCCAGAAACCATAGCTTTGAGGCTTATTGCGACATGGAGTCCTTTGGAGGAGGCTGGACCGTGTTCCAGATGCGCCAGGACGGCAGCGTCTCCTTCAACCGAACCTGGGAGGCCTACAAGAACGGCTTTGGAAACGGTAAGGAGTTCTGGCTAGGGAACGACAAAATCCACCTCCTGACCAAAAGCAAGCAGATGCAGCTGAGGATCGAGCTGGAAGATTTCAACGGCGTCCGAGAATACGCCACATATGACCAGTTCTACGTCGCCAACGAGTATCTCAAATACCGTTTAACCATCGGCACCTACACGGGCACCGCCGGCGACTCCTTGAACTTCAGCAAACGCTACAGCCACGATCAAAAGTTCTTCACCACCCCGGACAGAGACAATGACCAATACGCTACAGGCAACTGCGGAGCATATTATAGCTCTGGATGGTGGTTTGATGCTTGTCTGGCTGCGAATCTCAACGGCAAATATTACAACAAGAACTATAAAGGGGTCCGCAATGGCATTTTTTGGGCCACGTGGCCTGAAGCGTCTGATCAGAACATGAATGGTTACAGAAAAGCTTTTAGGAAGGTTAAAATGATGATGAGGCCCAAAACTTTTTTGCCATGAATTCCTTCCCTGCTCCCAAAATCCCTTTGTCCAATCTTGGCACTTTCGCCTCAGAATTTGAGTGCAATTTAAGAATATTCTGTTACATTTCCTTTTTTTTTAAAAAAAAAAAAATTCTCTTCCTCTTGCAAGCATACCTCTTCCAAAGTACACAGACTTCTTTTCCTGACCAAATTCAGGATGGCATACACCAGAAAAGTCTCCAAACGTGGCAAATTTTAACATTTGTGGACTTCGATTCCCAGAATTCCCCAGCCAGCCATGGCGAAGGGCTCAGAATCCTGGGAGTTGAAGTCCACAAGGCTTAAAGCGCTTCATCATGGATAAATAAATCTATCTTTCTTTCTTTCTTTCTTTCTTTCTTTCTCTTTCTTTCTTTCTTTCTTTCTTTCTTTCTTTTTCTTTCTTTCTTTCTTTCTTCCTTTCTTTCTTTCTTTCTTTCTTTTCCTTCCTTCCTTCCTTCCTTCCTTCCTTCTTTCTTACTCTCTTTCTTTCTTCTTTCTTTCTTTTAATTTTTTCCTTCCTTCTTCCCTCCCTTCCTTCCGTCCTTCCCTCCCTCCCTCCCTATATGTTTTTAAGAAGAATCTAGACAGTCACTTATCTGAAATGATATAGGTTCTCCTACTTAAGCAGAGGGCTGGACTAGAAGACCTCCAAGGTCCCTTCCAGCTCATTCTATTCTATTCTATTCTATTCTATTCTATTCTATTCTATTCTATTCTATTCCATTCCATTCCATTCCATTCCATTCCTTATTTGATTCCATTCTTTCTGTTCTGTTCTGTTCTGTTCTGTTCTGTTCTGTTCTGTTCTGTTCTGTTCTGCTCTGCTCTGCTCTGCTCTGCTCTGCTCTGCTCTGTTCCATTCTGTTCCGTTCCGTTCCATTCCGTTGCCAAGTTTGGAGACCCCTGGTATATACAAAGACTTGGACCAAATAATACTTCAGCCTCATACATTTTCTGAATTTGGATTTCGGCTCAATTTTGACACAGTGATTTTTGAAGGTATTCCAGTAGTCCGGTTCCATTATCTGCTCCTAGGAAAAAAATGCAGATAATTAAAGGCATTTAAACCCAAAGTTTAAATGCCCCCATTTTAAGGCACATTCCAGAAACATATTGATAAATTCAATACGTGGTTTCCCGACCCCCCCCCCCCCCTGCCACCAGTCTCTTGGTTCAGTCTACTTTACAAGGTTGTTGTTTTTGTTGGGATAAAGTGAGGGAAGGCCCCATTCCACAGTGCCTTGAGTTTTTGGAGAAAATGCTGGCACGTCAACGTGATTTAACCATTCTTTTCAAAGCCACTGAAACTAAACTGCCTTGCCGCGCTTTCCAAGGCGAGAAAACATCTTCATCTCTTTGTGACTGTGCTTTTTCTATGTAAATAATAGAGGTTATATTTTTATAGATGACGAATTATGCATTGCCACTGTCACTTTTCTTTCCACGTCTAAATAGTTTTGTAGAAGAGTAGCTGCATTCGTTCTTTCTTTGTTTTTTGTTTTGTTTTAGTAAAAGCCATGAAGAATTTTGGAGCACCTTAACTAATTTTAGCTTTTATAGGGTATTATCGTAGTGCGTTTTTATGATTTCATTCTAAAATGCGACAATGTTTGTTGTAGTACAAAAATACATGGGTTACAGATGACTTTATTGGACGCGTGAATCTGAAATGGTTGAGTATGATCCAGAAAGGTTACATCCCACTAGATGCTGTTGTCATTTCTAATGAATCTATCGCGCTCAGCACGTGAAATCTATCGTAGCAATTATGCCCCACTCTTCAAATATGAATGTACGTTGACAGTTAGGATTCACTCAGACGGGATTAGATCAATTGAAGCGCCACTGAAAACAATGTGCAGATGTTTATCGTGTCGTTTGAAAACCAGGACAATTAAACGAACTTAAAATTACTGTGGCTTAATTAAGTATTTCCAGTTCTAGATTTAAAAAAAACAGAGGTTCTTTTTTTCAATCGGAGAGGAAATAATCCCCAAAACTATCTTTATGCTTATAGAAGGAAAACCGTAATTTGTCATATCACATTTAGATCAACAGCAGTCACGTTAAGTTGAAAATTAACCTGCCATAGGTTACCGTATTTTTCGGAGCATAAGACGCACCTTTTTCCCCCCTAAAAGGGGGTGAAAATTTAGGTGCGTCTTATACACCGAATGTAGCCCCGCCCACCCACTGGCTCCCACCCTTTGGCCTCTGCCTCGCAGCAGGTACCTCCTTGCAAGCAAACAGCAAGAAAAAACAGCTCCTTTCAGCTTCAGCACAGCCTAATTAGCACAAGTTGATTAGATCGGCCTCCGGACTCTCAGCTGATTTGCTCTCAGCTGTTTTGCGCAGGGCTCTGCTGCTTGCTGCAAAGAGGTAAATTGCTGGGAACAGATTTTTTTTTCCTTGTGTTAATCAAGCTATGCTGAAAACGAAAATGAAAGTAAAGCAGGCTGTTTGCTGTTTGCTGCAACGAGGCAAAATTGCTCAGAGGCAGAGGCAGATTTCTTTTTCTTCTTTTCCTCACCAAAAAAGGTTTTATACTCCGAAAAATACAGTAATTCCATGCAGTCTCAATAATACAGGTAGTCCTCAACTTACAACAGTTCGTTTAGTGACAGTTCAAAGTAACAACAGCACTGAGAACATTTAAGACTGTTACAGCATCCCCATGGTCATGTGATCAAAATTCAGATGCTCGGCAACTGGCATGTACTTATGACGGTTGCAGTGTCCCAGGATCACATGATCCCCTTTTGTGATCGTCTGCCAAGCAAAAGTCAAAGGGAAAGCCGGAATGGCTTAACAACTCTGTTATTAACAACTGCGGCGATTCACTTAACAATTATAGCCAGAACGGTCGTAAAATGGGGCAAATTCACTTAACGAAACTTTTGCTTAGCCCGACAGAAATGTAGGGCTCAATGGTGGCTGTAAGTCGAGGAATACCTGTGCAATTATTAGGGGTCAAAATCTGAGCAGTAGTTTTGCAAAGCTGAAGGTCAGGCTCAAGTCCAAAGATGAGACAAGGATACTCCATCCAATTCCAATCCGATCCAATTGCGTCCGATGGACAGAATCTTGCCAAAGTTTCTATAGCCTATTAAATATATCCTGAGAGATTCTAGGGCAGGGTGTCAAACTCAAGGCCGGCGGGCCACATCTGGCCTGCAGGGGTGCTTAGATCTGGCCCGTGGTCCCACCCTGGAAACAGCGAAGGACCGGCCCGTGGTGCCTCTGTCAGTAAAAACGGAGGTTTTCCCCAGCGCTCTGTTTTCGGCTGCGACGGCCTCCCCAAGCTCCATTTTCACCGGCAGAGGGCTGCAGGAGGCTGTTGCGGCCAAAAACGGAGCCTCAATGAGTGATGTCGAGCTGGCCACACCCCCTGGGCCCTCCGAGGCAGTGGTGGGTTCCTCCCGGTTCGGCCTGGTTTGGCCGAGCTGGTAGCGGTGACAATATGACGTCACCGAACCGGTTCTCTTTGTTCAGGAGCTGGGCCCCTCCGTCCCCCTGCGTTTTCTTACCTTTTATTTGGCCCCACCCGAATCTTTTGCTGCCTCCCGAGTCCCAGCTGATCGGCTAGAATGGAAAAAACTGTTTAAACTCTTGCCGGGGCTTCAAAGGGCCGCCCTTCAGCTGATCACTGTTAAAAGGCAGTGTGGTGGTAGACCAGTGCCTCCAAAAACAAATGAGTAGACCGGTGCCTCCAAAAACAAATGAGTAGACCGGTACAGTTCTGCAAGCAGTTAAAAGCCTGGTAGACCAGTACCTCTGCTAAATCCTAAAGAATTGTCACATGTCCATCAAGCCATGCCCACAAATAAGCCATGCCCACAGAACCGGTAGTAAAAATTTTTAGAACCCATCCCTGCTCCGAGATCAAACACAACCCTGATGCGGCCCTCAATGAAATCGAGTCTGACACTCCTCTTCTGGGGCATGGCTACCTTGAACTTCTTCCTCCTTCCCCCATCCAGCTGTGGAACAGTGCAGCTTCTTAATCTGGGCCTCCTTCTGGGAAGCCTCTGAGTTGGCAAAATACACCTCTACGTCCCCCACCTCTGCTGCCGCAGGTGCACAATCCCTCACAATCCTGCACCGCTGTCGCCATCCCACCCTTCCACGGAGCCAACAAGAGAAGGTGTGAAAACCAAGCCAGCAACGACTTTCTCTCCGCATCTGTTCTTCTCTTATCAACGTTTGCTTTTCACTTGCCAATGGGAGCGATACCAGTTGCCTTTTGGGAAAGAAGAGAAGCAAACGTTGGAGCAACTGAAGAGGGATTGGGTGTGGGGGGGGGTCGATGGCGAGATAACCCAGTGACATGAGTAGTGAGATGATAAATCTTAGAAGTTGGGAAGCAGGCCAAGGTGAGAGTTGCTGTCATCGGGACACCATCTGCTTCACTCTGAATAGAGCTGGAAGTCTCTTGGAGGCCTTCAAGTCCAACTCCCTGCTCAAGCAGGAGAGCCTATACAATTTGAAACACGTGGCTGCCCAATCTCTTCTTAAAAGCCTCCAGTGATGAAGCGCCTACAACTTCTGAAGGCGAGCCCTTCCACTGGTTAATTGTCCTCACTGTTTCGAAGTTTCTACCTTAATTCCAGGTTGCTTCTCTCCTTGATTAGTTTCCATCCATTATTTCTTGCCTTGCCTTCTGGTGCTTTGGAAAATAAGTTGACCCCCCACTCCTCTTAATGGCAGCCCCTCAAATACTGGAGGACTGCTATCACGTCACTCTTGGTCCTTCTTTTTCTCTAGACTAGCCATACCCAGTTCCTGCAACCGTTCTTCGTATGTTTTTAGTAAGTGGCTTCACAGCTCCAGGGGTAACACTCTTCCAATTTGTAGCAGGAAAAGTTGAGTGGACAGGGAATTAGTTCAGTTTCTCAAGATTAGAATAGAATAGAATAACAGAGTTGGAAGGGACCTTGGAGGTCTTCTAGTCCAACCCGCTGCTTAGGCAGGAAACCGTACACCACTTCAGACAAATGGTTATCTAACATCTTAAAAACTTCCAGTGTTGGAGCATTCACAACTTCCGGAGTCAAGTTGTTCCACTGATTAATTGTTCTAACTGTCAGGAAGTTTCTCCTTAGTTCTAAGTTGCTTCTCTCCTTGATTAGTTTCCACCCATTGCTTCTTTGTCCTGCCTTCAGGTGCTTTGGAGAACAGCTTGACTCCCTCTTCTTTGTGGCAGCCCCTGAGATATTGGAAGACTGCTATCATGTCTCCCCTAGTCCTTCTTTTCATTAAACTAGAACAGGGGTCAGCAACCTGCAGCTCTGGAGCCACATGTGGCTCTTTCATCCTTCTGCTGTGGCTCCCTGCCGCTAGTCAGCTCCACAATTGATAGGACTTTCAATTAGGATAGGTAGAGGAAAAAGGATGCCCTGCTAGGAGGAGACACTATGGTGGGGGGAAACCGGACTTCCGATTGGCTCCAGAATTGAACGGAGGGCTTCCAGTTAGGGCCTTTGTGGCTCTGAGTGCTTAAGGTTGCCGACCCCTGGAATAGACATACCCAGTTTCTGCAACCGTTCTTCATTATTCATGGCCTAGCCCTTTATCTATATAAGAGACTGTAGAGGAGTGAAGATTGACTCGGGAGTGATCACATAGACTGCTGGAATCAAGATGGCGCCCAACTGTGTTAACAGCTCAGATAAAACACGCGTGAATGTCAAACACAGGACCTCAAACACAGATCTTCCCCCGTTTAAAACATCTCTGAATGTTTCGGTCGGCATTTCTTTTCATTCTTTTAACAAAGAGGTCAGGTGGCCTCAGGAACACACAGCCCAAGACATTGGGTGTTTGTAAAAGCCATTGGAAGTGAGGAATCCTACGGTCGTAAAATCTGAGGAGTTCCGATCGCTAATTCCTGGGTTGAGATTGAGCATTTCTAACTACTACTTCTTTAGGGAGCCGTCCTTCTGCACGCTCTATTTACTCTCCAACTCGACAGCACATTTTGTCCACTTAGTCAGAATTACTCATTTTTGGAACGTGACACTTGATATTTCCTTCAAAAGAGTTCATATATTTGCCTAATTTTTAAAAGCTATTCTTAAAAAACAAAACAAAATATATTTTCCCCAGCTCAACACACAGCCCAGATGTGTAAGTCTACAGATCTTATCATTCTTGGCGTGAGGGGAAAAACAGTTATTTTATTTATTTAGCGTATAGCATAACATACATACATGGACTTACAACAAGTATTAACATTTCACTTAGATTAAAAAACACAGTAAATGTTTAAAAGATCTATATTCAGATGCTAATGGAATACAATGTAATACAACTAGAGGATTCTAGCTTTGGAAAAACTGAATTAGCTAGTTTGGCTTAAGTAACATTTTTCATCCATAAAGTCCGTGTAGAAATGCACATATCAGCTTACATGCCTCTATGCTATGGTTAGCTTTTAATGGAGAAAACAATTAAGAGTATATTTATAGTACTGCGTTACTGTGAACAGGAGAAAGATACGTACACAGAAGAATAAATTAATATTTAAAGCAGAATGGATATTTTGAAGGCATTTTATTTGTATATTATTGCTATTAACAAAAAATATTGATGCTTATGTATATCTGCATTACAAAGGAGGCTTTTGCCTAGAATTAAATCCATATTTACTATTTTGTGACAAATCTTATTTAACTGAAGAGCATAAGAAATGGTGATGTTGAGAGGAAATATATATATACATTTGCATTGAAAATGTTTTCTGATGTTTTCTGACGTCACACATCAAGTTTTTAAAAAGCATATTATAATGTATACCACTGCTTAGCGCTGGTGCTTATCAAAACACTTCTTCCAAAATACAATCAAGATAATAAATGTTAAGGATGTTATTAGACTGTCTTTGACTACTATATTTGTAAAGTTTAACATCTCTATGGGAAACAGCAATGCTAAGAGCAGGACATAAAATGTTTTAAATGGAAAAAAAAAAAGGAAAATTAAAAATAGAACGGATGTTGACTCCCATAATCAAACGTCTTGCAAAATAGAGGGAAATATAAAGCTATCCAAATGAAAAACCAAAAACCATTTATCTCTGGCAAATCATTCTTTAAATGATCTGGTTAATGCGCATGATATTAATCAACTCCATATGGGGAAAAAAATGGCATTGCCAGTGACATGCGGAAAACAGAGAAATTAGTCGGATTTTCATTTTGCCTGAGGCATATCCACACAACGTGTTAAAGGAGGTTTGAAAGTTTAGAAAAGTGTTTTGATAGCATACTTCACTCCAAGAGATCTATGATCTACTGTGGAATTCTGGGAATTTACACAATTCTTTGCTCATCGTAAGCTATCATTCCCAATGTTTTTGCTTCAGAAAGCCAGAGAACGCTGTTTTATCTCTTTCACGAAAAAAGTACCTTGCATGTAAACGATTCCTACTTTTGTGAAATGTGTGGCTTTTCTCAACGAGCTACCTGGCTGGGTTTATTTTTCAGTATTCCTGTGTTTAAATGATTTTAATAAATGTTATTTGCCTCAAAGTAATCTGCTTGTACGTCGTTACAGCTAGTATGTCTGGTTGTTTTCAGTGCAAAATGTCATCCAAATTGCCTACAAAATAAAGAAACAGACGGCTTGATAATGGCTTTATTTTTTGTAATACTGTTAAACCAACGGTGGGCTTCAAAAATTTTAGCAAGGGGTTCTCTACCCGGTTGCTGGGTGGGCGTGGCCATGGTGGGCGTGGCCTAGTCGGCTTCCTGCACCACAGCGGATGGGGCATTTTTGCCCTCCCCGGGCTCTGGAGGCTTTCCTCGAGTCTCCGGGAGGGCAAAAACGGCCTCCCCAGGCTCCGGAGGCCCTCTGGAGGCTGGAAACGGGTGATTTCCGGCCTTCCTGAACTTCCGGTAGGCCCATTTTTCACCCTCCCCGAGTTTCCACATGTGCCCTGTACTTACCTGTACCCAAAATGGGTCACGTGGGGACTCTGGGAGGGACGGGGTGGGATGGGCGGGGCCAGCCAGGAGTGGGATTGGGGGGTTCTCTTAACTGCACAGAATCTTAGCTAGAGGTTCTCCTGAACCCCTGCGAACCCCCAGTAGCCCACTCTGTTAAACCCTATACGTGAAATTCTAGTGGTACCCAATCAGAAGTCCCCATTTGACCAATTAGAACCAGAAGAAAATTGGTATCAGAATCTGTTTTTTCCTTATGAATATAAATATCATCATTATTATAAAAGCTGTTATTTAACTTTCTGGGTTGAAGAGCCAGATAAATATATTTATTTTTTTAAAATCAGGGAAGGAGGTCAGGCAACTCCCCAGAGTTGCTAGACTCAAACACTTGGTAGCCATAGCAAGCATAGAAAGGATGATGAATAACAGTTTACTCCAATATTTGTAGAGTTTCAGGTTTCAACGCCTGCTGGAAATATGGCTGAATGACATACTTCAACACCCTGAAGTCTTAATTAAATCCAGAAATCACAAAATAATTTGATTGCGAATTCCGATTTTGCAGGCGGTTACTAACAGAAGATACCAAACCTTTATCTGCAAAACTGAAAAGAAAAAAAAAACCACTAATATTTTATGCAACAAATAAAGTCTTTAGTTATTTATTTGTTTGTTTTTTAATGACCGTGTAATCCCTTACATCGGGGTGGAGTTGGGGCAACTGAATGGAACTGAGTATTTACTAGCTGGATGCCCTTCCTGTTGCCAATGCAGAGTTCGCAGCAGATAATTACTCACTGTGCCCAGAGGGAGAAATAACCGCCGCTACCTAGGATCGAACTCACAGCCACCTGATTGTGAGGTGACAGCTATTTGTTTATTTTGATGTTATAAAAACATGAAACCATACTGGTTTCAAAAGTCTGCCTTGACCTCGAAAAGGTCAAAAATGAAAATCAAAAGTGAAAATTAGAAAAAGGTTAAAAGGGAAAATAGGAGGTTCTGTGGCGCATAACTTGTTGCCTGACGGATGTTTTGAACAATTTTTGCAACTACCCGTAACTTCCTACTGGAAGACCCTTGTGTGAATTCCACTGAAAAAGACACCGTAATAAGGAGATGGAAGATAATCTCTGCTTAGACACGAAGTCTGTCCGGTTTACTCACATGAAGCGCACAGGTTGCAAACAGGAGGTATCTCACTCAGAGAAACATCTGGTAGACCGCAGAGTAAACCTGACCCAGCAGTTTGCTGTAGCTGTCAAAGATCTAATACAATTTTGGACTGCAGCAACAAAATATAGCAGTGATGGCTAACCTTTTTGCCGTCGCGTGCCAAAAGCGGGGAGAGCACAAGGGGTCATGCACGCATGCCCATACCCATAATTCAATGCACCCCACCCCCCCGCACATGTGCGTGTGACCCCCTGCTCCCCCCACCACGCTTTTGGCATGCGATGGCATGGTGGGCTAGGTAGGCCTGTTTTTCACCCTCCCCAGGCTCCAGGGGCTTTTTAGGAGCCTGAGGAGGGTGAAAACGGCCTTCCCCACACCCCCCAGAGACTGGAAACAGCCCATTTCCTGACTTCTGATGAGACCGGAAGGCCTGCTTTTCGCTCTCCCCACGCTCCAGAGGCTTTCTAGGAGCCTGGGGAGGGTAAAAATACCCCCCCTCCCCGGAGGCCGAAAATGGCCCGTTTCCTGACTTCCAGTGGGCCCGGAAGGCCCGAAAATCAGATGGTTGGCATGTGCATGCGCACTGGAGCTGAGCTAGGGCAATGCACACGTGCCCACAGATATGGCCACCTGTGGCACGTGTGCCATAGGTTCGCCATCACGGGAGTATAGTGTTAAGGTCACAAAGAAGTGACATCTCCACTCCATGCTGTGCTAGAAAAACTACATCTAAAATACTGTACCCACTGCTAGTTGCCACTGTTAAGGATATTGTTGTTGTGTTACCAACCAGCAGAGTGTAGAGCACAGAGAAACGTTGCTGAGAGCAATGAATAAGAGATGTGCAAACTGATTTATCAAAAGTTTACTTTATAGTGAAAAAACAATCTCATAGTCTTTAAATCAATCCAAGTCTTTGCCAGTTAAATCAGTCCAGTGATACAGAAACTCTTCTTATCACACAAAGAGTAGTTGGTTAGAATAACAAGTTCACTCTGGTTCACAAACTACGATGGTAGCAGATCCATCCAACCGATGATAGCACAATGGTTGCAACTCCACACACAATGGTAGCTTATCATCAACTGAATGTGTTACAGTACCTTTCTTAAATACGTTCACAACTAATTACAGCGTGACTCAGCATTACAATGAATCAGCAGGAAAACTTTAAAGTCACACAATACATATTCATATTAAAGTCACAGAACACATATATTGCCTGGACAACTTGTTAGGCTCAAACCATATCCCAACAGCCACAATACAAGAGGCTGAGGAACAGGAAAGGATACAGAGAAGAGCAACAAAAACCATAAGGGGCATTGAGACTAAATCCTTTGAATTGTTAATAGCAATAGCAATAGCACTTAGACTTATATACCGCTTCACAGTACTTTACACCCCTCTCTAAACGGTTTACAGAGTCAGCATCTTGCCCCCAACCATCTGAGTCCTCATTTTACCGATCTTGGAAGGATGGAAGGATGGCTGTGTCAACTCCATTTTTATATGAAAGTGTGCAGGACAAAATATAGTCCAGTATTGCACAATTTCCAACTCGAACAGCAAAGGACAGAAAATGGATCGATCATCTTTTTCGGTAGAAGATGCATTTAAATACTGAAATAATGAAGCTATTTGGGGGTAAAGAATTCAGGAACAGACTCATCTAGATAACACTGAGTATAATGTTTAAAGAGAGTCCCAATACATACTAGACATGCTGAAGGATTGTGCCACTCTATTGTCGTTACAGTTGCGCTGATGAAATAGGGCCCTCTTTATATATATAATTTAGAAACTGTATAGGTGTGAAAGCCCTATGAGTGGCATGATGGCCTAGTGGTAAAGGTACTTGCCTTCCACTCAGAAGGTTGAGAGTTCAATCCTAGGTAGCAGCAAATGTTTCTCTTCCAGGGCGCAAAGAGAAAATATCTGCTGTGAACTCCGCGTAGGCATCAGGAAGGGCATCCGGCCAGTAAACGCTCAGCTCCATTTGTCTCCCCGACTCTACCCTGAATTAAGCAGTTACAGGATCATTAAAAAGGGAGTTTTTATAGGGATAAAAGCCCTCTTTAGATCGTTCAATAATTTCACATAGGAATGGAAATGATCTAAACCTCAACTTTTCTAGTTCCAGGGACCCGTTGCAGAATAAAAACTGTTTTCCATGGACCAGGAAGGGTCGGGGGACAGTTTCACTCGTGCAACCTAGATCCCACACATGTGCAGATGAAAGTTTGCTTGCTTGTCCATGACTCACACAGCCCGGTTCCCGACAAGGGTTGGGGACCCCTGATCTAACCCACTCACAAGTTGATTCGCTGACTTTTGAAAAAAAGAAACCTTTGTGTGAGAGAGCTTCACAATGTCATATGTTCAATGCAGTCATAGTTCTGGCTTGGCAATCTTGTCTTTAACGCAACAATTATGACCCAGCTGGAAAAGTTTTGTTCACTAGTGACATTACATTCAGCAGTTCCGGTGGCCTCTTATATGCACATGTTAAGAATCAGTCTTAAGATATGAGGCCTCAAAGCATTTCCTCCTATTAAATGCTGGCTCTTAATTTGGAAAAAATGATTTTGCATTCTTTAGCCATCATGCAAGAGATATTAAGGAGATAAAATTATCTGCATTGAGCCCCACCCAGTATACTAATCGCTTCAACAGTTTTTTTTTATACAAAACGGCTGTTGAATCTGTCCAAGGATGTATGGAAGAACAAAATTAGGAAAAAAGATTATCCGTGATTGATAGTTCTGGAGGAAAAATACTTATAAATACCTAAATAGTAGTTTAAAATTCACCTGATTTATAATGTTTTGTCCCGAATAGAAAGCCAGAAAAGTGAGAATAAGAGATTATGATTGTTTGGAGGGCATCATACTTATGAATCAGGGGTGAAATGCTCCCGGTTCGGAACGGATCACCTGATCCGGTAGCGATGGCGGCGGGTGGTTCGGAGAACCGGTAGCAAAAATCCCTGCGCCCCCTCCATGCCCAGCTGATCCGCGCGATCATCAGAGGCTTTTTTTTTTTACTTTTAAAAGCATTTTTTCTACAACCTCTTCCGACGAAAAAATACTTTTAAAAGTAAAAGAAAAAGCCTCTGATGATCGCGCGGATCAGCTGGGATCCTCAGAGGCTTTTCAAAGCATTTTTTTCTGCAACCTCTTGGCCGAAGAGGTGGTTAAAAAAAACGCTTTGAAAAGTCTCTGACGATCCCAGCTGAGTTGCCTGATCGGCAGAGGCTTTTCAAAGTATTAGAAAAAATGCTTTCAAAAGTTTAAAAAAAAAAAAAAAGTTGGCCATGCCCACCCAGTCACATTACCCCCACCACCAAGCCACACCCACAGAACCGGTAATAACAAATTTTACATTTCACCCCTGTTATGAATCCTTTCTTACTGTGGCTTCCAACCGTCTTTGGATGAGACCATTGAAAATTAGCCTGGGTATTTTAAAAAGAAAGAAGTGTAGGTAAAACCAGGGTTGGGCT